TAATAAATTAATTTATCAAGAAAATAATTAATTCATAAATATTATATATGCAAACTTCAAATTTAAATAAAAATTTAAGTGAAATCTGGCAATATCATAAATTACAAATAATTAGTCAAAAAGTTTTCATTGGATAGTAACACTACATTTATCAAATAGAGCTGAATTGGACTTTAATTTATGATATATTTTGGAATTATAATAATAATTTATAAAGTTAGTTATATAGTTGCTATGGAAAAATAACTTATCTACTATAGTTGGGAAAAATAATTTTACTTAATAAAATTTTCAAAAAAAATAATGAGAAAACATTAAGATTCATTAGTCAAACAGAATTATGATTGCTATTTAAAACATCAAATAGTATGAAAGTTGTCCCAAATAGACCTTTAGTATTTTAAAGGATAGTTAAATTTTAAATTAGTTGAATTTTTGCTAATTGGTTATGAATAAAAGAATTTGTGAACTAATTGATTTGAATTCATTGACAAAATTAAAATTTTATTTAATACGAGACCCCAAAATTTAAAACGGGGAATCAAATTTCTATAATATTTATAATTGTAAAAATATTTAAATATAAATTTAATATTATAACATGTAATTATATAGGATATTTTTAAATTTAGGAGGATGAGAGCCACATTCATCCTTATGAAACCACTAAGAAGATCAAGATTGGAGTCTTTGTTAAAGTAGGTAGAACTTGAAGATTTAGCTTTAGCAAGCCAACTAGCACAGGCAGTGCTTTCATGACAGATATGTGATATCCTAAAGTTGACTTTGTTCAACAAAATAATAATTTTACTAAAAAGGTTGACTAAATTTGAATTTTGAAAATTACGAGAATTTACAAAATAAACAAGCATTATATTATTTGTTTTCATATATGATTTTCTCACATTTTTAGTAAATTCTTTGAATTTTTTTTTGAATTCAATTTATGTTAAAAATACACATATATACATATTTACTATAATTTGAAGAGAATTATAAGAAAATTGTGTTATTCAATTTATTAAGGTGCGCATAACAACTGCATTTACTCATTAGTCCAACAATACTCTAAGCCCATCCATGCCAGCCAGTTTTAACATTAGCATGGTGAGTTTAGTGCCATTATTGAATGGTAGGTGCACCCAAATGACCATTGACACTCTTTGATAAGGGGTGATGATGGTCAGTGGTTTATGTTAAAGGATGTTTGTGGAAGTTGACAGTAACAAATACAAATATCATGCAACGAATGAAGGCTACAATTAGTCTATGCACTAGTGGGTGGCCGACCATTGACATTGATAAGTGTCCTGTGGCGAACGATAAGAGCGATCAATGGTGGGCATAAATGATAGATGATTGAAGGTGTGTTAATGTCAAGTGATGATGAATGGTGAACACAATTTGATGATATGTGTTGATCAATCTTGCTTGATCATAAAATATTATTTGGACATCTTATAATCTTAATGATGTCAAAATTTGAATATAGTAAATATGTATATTTGTGTATATGCAATTATAAAATATGATGCAAACATAAATATCATATTTCAGTAGGATAATTGGCTAATTCCATAAGGTCCATGAGAAGTTGTATTGAACTGCATCAGCTTCTCATGACCTGCAAGGAAGAAAGATAAAAACGAAACAGAGATAAGCAGCATCGAGAGTAAAGGAGGAAAGCTTCTTCTCTTTTTGCTTACGATTCCTGTTGCTACAGGAGGTATAAAATACATCGTGTGAAATGATCCCAACGGTTGGATCAAGCAGTTAATCAACAACGGTTAGGATTAGCTTAGTACAAGCATTAGGCTGCAATGGCAGAAAGAGGTGGCTGCAGAGCATCATTGCAACGGCTGTGGCAATATAAGCACCACTACTTATCTCTTCAACTTATCATCCCCCCACAAGGTGACACTCGTATCAACGAGTGTAAGCTTGTGTCGTAGATCTTGAAACCTTTTAGTGGTTAGAGGTTTGGTAAAGATATCCGCCAATTGATCAACAGAGTTAACATGGTGAATTGAGATAGAATTTGACTTCACACAATCTCGAATATATGTTTTAAAGGCCTGATAACTCGGAGGTAAACCATTCAGAGTATAATTACATTCAGAGCTCCAGGTTGCTTTCCTTGATCGGCTTTGTGGTTTCCGTTGATAGAAACTTAAAATGAGTTCAGCGGAATCTTCAACTAACGCTTCCGACGTTGTTTCTCAAACTCCGGTGAAAATGGCCGAAGCAATTATTCCGCCTCAGCTGAAGTTTCTGATGCTCAACATAAAATTGGTGTTGAACACCCAGTTAAATGCAGATAATTATTTGCTCTGATACCATGAGAAGTTGTATTGA